GTGTGGGGGGGGGGGGGTGGATCAGGGAAGCTTTAGCACCTGCACAAATTGTTTTAGGGCACACAGAGAGAGAAACCATCATCTCCGACGCATGGAGTTATATGCAAAGTGAGCTATTACACAACCTCAAATCATCATTTGAGCTCGCTGACACACTCGATTTCATTTGACTGGGTTGACCACTCCCAAAGTTTCGTCGAAACGGTCGTGTTGTGGTGGATGAATGTGCAAGGTTTAGTTGTGAGAAGTTTTATCCTTGTGGTGTGTAGATTCAATCGATGTACGCTACCGAAAGTTTAGGCAAACTGCTGGTTTTCGGAGTGCAAATTCTCTCATGAGTGTGAATACTTTTATTGTTTGAGTAGTAGCATTATGAATGTGAATAATTACAACAGCAAACAACGGAAAACAATTACCTTCTCGATTCATCAATCTCCACATTTCATGCTGTGGATCTCGGAATATTCTAGTCATCCAATCTACTCATTGCCCAAACGAAGATAGAGGCACAGACGGTTACCATTTTAATATGAAAAAAATTTCGTCAACCCCTCGGAAAACCTGAGTGAGTTTTATGTCGTTCGCTGTTGACGTGGAACTAACCTACAGAATCTGCCTGTAAAGATAATGGTAGTGCATGGGACTCAATCACTCATTTGTGTATATGAATCATCAAAAGTTTGACTTATATATAGAGCTAATGAGTCCGTGTGCGGTTTCAGGACAGACAACCGTGCCATGAATTGCCGAGAATTCTCAAGAAGTGTACGGTACTATCAAGGAGTTCCATAAATAGATAATACCCTAAAACACAGTGATTAACCAAACTATCATGTGGAAAACGATAGCAGTTCCTTAGGTGATAAAATTAAGCAAAATAGGCCACAAAATTATTTTTTTACCCATGTAGTCCCCGTAGCTTTAATCGAATTTTATCTGCAATATACTGATGATTCATTGTTTATCGAATCCCGTTATTTTGCATCCGGTTGCAGTACCCGATTATGATTGCTATCACACTTAGTGTAAGAACGAATCGGAATTGTTCACAGTTTTCGTATTTACAATGTAATCATTTTTTAAAAGGACCTAAGTTATTGATTGAAGTGACATTTAAATAGAAGCAGCAATCGATGCCTATTCAAGTTACTTTTGGGCGTGAACCAATGCGGCCCCTGATTAGAGTAGGTAGTCCATTTACCTGGCACAGAAATTCTGGTTCAGTCAATAATGCTCTTAGGTTTTCAGCGATCAATTATTGATTTTTTTAATCAAATCATCAGCATCATCGATTCACAGCTGTCTCCAATAGCGGACAGGCCTGATAAAATTTCGACATGCATACGGAGGTCTCCGTTTACGTATGTTGGCTTGGGATATATTTTACATTAGAAGGGAATCTGACTCTTTGGAAAGCTCTCGATGGTGCTGGTATATGGTGCACAGTCACACGACTGTTATGGTTGGCTGATGGACGCAGAATGTTATTACTCAAACACCGTTACCCATGCAGCATTGCACAAGTTTTGTGGAGCAACCGGACAGTTTAAGAATGTCAGATGAGCAGTTACAGGTCATTGATTCCACTCACTAACACTAGTATTTGATTTCCCCAAATTTGGGTGGTTGGGATGTGTTACCCATGTCACCAAATGAACCCTTTTGATCTGCAGCGTTTGTTTAGGCATCTAATGGTTGAGAGACAGATAAACTCAGTCAGACTATTATCTACCGTGAGAATGTTATAATACTAAGAGACTTGATCATATAAGTTGCACTAGACTCAAGGCCAGTGTAATCAATGATTGGAGACGCCTGGTGAAGTGACTGAGTTTCATGACATGAGCTTAATGTCTACCTACATCCACTTCATTTACTCTCTACCCTCATATTAAGAATCACCTCAGAATTATGCTTCATCCCTCCTTGATCAACCAAATTGATAGCTGAAAGAGAACAACTACTACCAGCGCACGACATTGCAGCGGCAATTGTTGTGCATTCTGAAAGGTAATGGATAAGTGTGACTATCATGATGGCAATGCATATTCTCCGGTTAGAACCAGAAACTAAACTGGTTTATATCGGGCGTCATTTGTCTTCTGTAGACCATTCACTGTTTGACGAAATGATTTTACCGTGGTTACTTTCCTCTTCGTTGCTCCTAAGGACCGAAAGGTGCTTTAAATGCATTTTTGACTTGATATATGCTATAAAGGATACCCTTATTCTTCAATGCCTTTCTGCAACCGCTTCACGTGGATTTCTCGTTTTCGAAATGAGTGGAATGGATATATTCTTTCAGAAAGTATATAGCGATTCGATGATCTCCACTGTGCCTAAGGCGTCTTTTGAAGTGTTTTGTAGGTGAAAAATGTGAAAACCGATACCATGTTTGTAAATAAACGTTATCTTTACTTTCCGGTATACGAAGGATTTGGGGGTAACACATGGTGAACAGTGAATAATACTTTAGCTGGGTTACCCTCATATTACGAAGTTTTCCAATTCTGAACTCACATAGACATAGGATTGGCTGGCCTAAACCTGCATTCAGACGAATTTAGCCTAAAGAGCAGGTCCGTAAACGTCTTTCCAATTCGTCTCAGGTCCTGGAAAAATCAAGGCAGATAGGGAAGAGAAGGTCAAATGAAGACTGATATGGACCGCCTCCGATAATAAATCTAGTGCACCGAAAGTAAGTAAACCGAAATCCGATAAACCCGATTCTAATGACCAGTACCCAATCGACTCACGCACTTTTATTATACACGTATTTCAGTCTGTCCCTAATCACATATGGGAAGAGGCAAGTCTTCAGCATCCGCATCATTTCGGTTCAGGGTGATTACACCAGAACAGCAACTGACTTGTAAGGCCAACGGTACTGGAAACTCCGAGAGTTTGCTATGTGAACATCCGAAGCATTCTAAAAAAGATTTACCAGTGTATAAAACAATGGAATGAAGCGGAGACATATGACTGTCTCTCTTGTAGTGGTCTGCCTCCTGTGGCATGCGGAGGACTACAAATTTGGGCATTTTCTTTTGCATTTAGCGGAACCGTTTTTAAAGCTCACTATCGTGAAAACAGGACTGCTCCTTTTATGGATTGTAATGAACTCTGAGAAGAGAGCTCGACAACTGTAATCTAAATTTACGACCTGGACTCTGATGAACGAATGGCACCGAAAGGAGCTCCTCGGTTAGGAAAGAGATCGATGTCATTGGCAAGGAAGACAATTGGATAGTACCATGCGGACTGTTAAAGTAAGGTTTCAAATTCGAATGAAAATAGAGACATTAAAGTTTAGAGGTCAAAGGGGTACAAATATAGAAAATGGAATGAGTATATTGATATTGCGATTTTGTGAGGGTTCAGGTACAATGTGGAGAGCCATAGGATCTCATGGGAAGAGTGATTTGATTTTCATTGGCGGAAATATGAATGTGTCAAGTTATGTAAAGCAGCTAAGACTGCTACTAGAACAGAGGACCAATTTATATCTCCCAAGGTGGAAAGGCCGGTATCCAAGCGTCCAGTTATGCCATCTGTATCACAGTGCTTGCTCTATACCCTGAATTTTT